GTGAAGACCTCTCCTTCGAGCAAGAAGAAATTGATGGGACCTTCGAGAGCGCTGTCGCTGCCTATGTACCTTATCGTTCTCTTGCTACTACTATGGCTAATCGGCTGCACAACTATATTGATGTGTGGTCTCGGTCTGAGGAAAAGCCCGGGTCTAAAAAGTGCCTGAAGTGCCTTTTAGATGACTGGTCTACCATCCGAGATGGGTTTATGTCTGCTCTTTCCAGTCAATCACTTGAGCCGCCATCAAAATGTTTGGTCCTTGGTCTTTTCGCTTCCGACGTGGTCTACCATGTTCTTTCCAAGTTGATCGGTGATGAAGAGCATGAAGGTCGTGAGCCGATCTGGAAGATGCTTTCTGGAGCCCTTATCAATGTTGTTCTCCCTGTTGATCTACTCTCCCAGGCTGGTCGACGACTACTTCGTACTATAAAGCGTCAGGCGGTGAAAGACTTGGAGCAATCAGGCTGGTCACCAGTAGGCCTTCGATGGTATGACTTTGATATGGCCATTTGTGAAGGCTATGGGGACGATGATGCTCTCGTGGAAAGCCCCAACGACAACCGTTTCTTGAAAATCGGTCTTTTATGGTATCAGGTCACCCTATTCTCGCCAGCTGGTGATCTCATCCCCCAACTACTGCTGCCCAGCTCTAAGGATGATGATGGTATCTTGGCGAATCTGGTTTGGCACCTGCACTTTTCTACAGCTCATTCCTGTCCGGCCATAGTGCTGGGTTTAGTCAGGAACTACTGTGTTTGGCAAAAACAACGACGCTTTGTGCAAGACCTACTGCGTAGTTGCGATTACTGCCAACGAGTCGCGAGAGATAGGATCCGCGACTATTGTGGTGTCCGGCAGATCCACACCATTCCCTGGTATCGGGTGGGCTTGGACGTATATGGCCCTGTCTATAGGGCGGCTCGGTATGACAAGCAAGGTAGAGCACCGTATAATTACGTTTTGAGCTACACGTGCTACTACACCAATAAGACCATTCTCCGCCCTCTACACCATTGTTCGGGAAGTGAGATTGCGATGGTGCACAAACAGGTTGTTGCCGACTTCGGTCGGATGCCTTTCCTCTCGGTAGACTGTGGTTCGGAGTTTATGAACCAGGACTTTCTCAGCGTGACCGTTGAAGAAGGTATTGAAGTTTGCTACGACTCCCCAAATTCTCCCTGGAGTCGTGCCCCTGTCGAAAGGAGGCATTCGGTGATATCTAAACTGCTAAGGGTTCTGGCATTATCTGGTCGGTCCAGCGAGTGGCATCAGCATCTTGATGAGGCCACTATGGCTATCAATAGTTCCTCACTATTACGCGGAGATCAACTGCTCACCCCCGATATGCTGTTCTTTTCGTATCGTCCCTGTTCGGCTCTCTCGCTATGGTTCTCTCCGCTCAATGATGGTGCTAGATCTACTGACTTGCGAGAGCAGTTGAAGCTTCGTCTCATCTATGATGCACAGTGGATGCAGAACCGTGAGACCGACCGGCTCGAGGTTGATAAGAGAGGGCATGTACCGAGACCCCGCCCAGAAGTTGGTGATGAAGTCCTGGTCTGGGTTGACCCTACTGGTGACAAGTTTAAATATTCGTGGCGAGGACCCTATACTGTGATGGACTATACTGATAAAGGCCAAGTTGTTCTTGAAGGATTGAAGCGCCCCCAAGCTCTATCGAATGTGAAGATTTATCACAGAGACATCATGACTGCCAATATATCTACTACAAAGACTGGTGATGTCCCTCCTAAGGAGCATCATAGGCTTGATGGCGTTTCTCAGAATGACTTCTTGATGGCCAAGGGTTCGCTGTACCAAGTTGTATCGGTTAATTACAACGAAGCTACTATCAAAGCAGTTAAGGTGACTATTGAAGATTCAGTTTTAATTTATAGCGATGAAGTCTGTGAATTTGATATGCTCTGTACTGAGACCTTTTTAGTCCCAGGTATTAGAGTGACTAATGGTACTGTAAGTCTCTCGAGAACGGCTCGACGGATGTTGAATACGCTCTCATTGCAGTAGTCTGATGTGTTTCATTTCCATTTCTTACAGAGCTCGAAGAGAGGGGCATGTGAGGTGCTGTCACCGTCCAGGAGATTCCGTATCATAGCACACAAAGCTGGTGCTATGGAGCTGTCCCTCTAGCGCCCCCACGCTATAGTCCCGTAGCGCTCTGTACTACTAAAGTTTATGGTTACTAGTTCTCATTTCCACTAATCCCTCATGGCATTGAGTTCTAGAGGTCAGGATTCCGGGACTGCAGCTGACAAGGGACGACGAGCGCTTTATATAACCTTGCCTGCCAGCTCAAGGGCAAAGGTGAGGATCCGAATGTGCTGCGGTCATCGAGGACCAATTTTCCGTTGAGGAAAGGTCCTTGCCCGTCAGCACGGATAGAGTACGTGAGATTGGATATAACCTGCTGTTTCTGGAGCTGTTCCAGAAAAGTTTCCGGTATGTCATTTTGAGCGAAGGAGAGGCCTAGTAAGCCAAACACGCCAACTTTTGTCCCATGAACGTTACTGTAGTTGAGGGCCAATCCAAGCTTGAAACCATGAACCGTCTTATTAGCAATCATGAGCGTCACATTGTGCTCCACATATTCGAACCTGTCACCGTCCCCAAAAGTTGTCTTCCATCTCTTCCTTGAGAGAATACCATCGCAAGGTTTATCAGTGGGGCAGAAGTAGCACCCCGAACGAGTCCTGCCACAACTGCCTTCTCCCATCAATGCCTCGTATGAAGGACCGTAGATAGCGAAACTTCTGGCGCTTCCCGAATCCACTCCGGAAGTTCAGTGGCTGGCCGTCCAGTGTCAAAGGTACATACAGATCTGCTATTGGAAGAGAAATCGGTTCAGCTTTGGCGCAGGAGATATACGCTACCACAATTTCTGCCAAGATGCGGATAATATGTGATGGCATAGTGTGAGAGGGACCAGAACTCGCGAGTAAGGACAGCTGACCGGTGGTCAATATGCGACAATGATTCACTAAAATTATTGGTACGAACTAACCTGTACCAATCCTTCGAACGTCAGAGGCATGTACATGTTGAGCACGACAAGTGCTGGTCCCAAACGCTGCGGAAATTGAGTAGCATTCGGAAGAGCGAGCTAGCTTCTTGTCTCTTTTGAGGCAGCGCGCGCCACAAAAGATCCTCCGTCGATCGTGAGCTTTATTCAGCGATGGCGGGGCATAGTGTAGTTTCCGACGAATGCAAAATGTTGTTTGAAGCAGCCTGTTTGGCTTATTTTAAATGTTCCCATCACACAGTGAATTTCACTGAGTGAAATAAGTAACACTGTAAAGCTTTTACGGCGCCTGTCGGCGGGACTTGTTTTCAGCCCTCCGTGACCTCTTGAGTACATCAACACATCTCAAATATATAATGCGATCGCATAGAAGACGAGCGGACCCTGTCAATGAGGGTGCTCGGCCTCAGAGCCAATGAGTGTGCAACGATGTGTAGCTCGCGTGGGATATGTGACATGGGCGATTCTCGAGGTTTCTTTCGACCCCTGTTCACCCAGGCCGTGGAAGGCCGTATACGCTCGCTTCCTGATAGGCAGACTTCCGCTGGTGATAGGGCCGAACGATGCGTGCACTATCCTTCGTTGAACTTGTTCAGCATGTCCCTGTGCTCACTTTCGTCAGCAGCCGCTGTTGACGCTATGCGTCGAATGTGCTCATCATCACGCACCCCATTGAGAGCGGGGCGCTATCCCAAATGATGGCTCGAGCACTGAGAGTTCTTTCCGGGGATTCCTCCCGGTAGGCTGACATGAGTATTAGTGAGTGCAAGGAAGCCGGGCATGAGGATTGAGGACTTTTCCGACTTATCGGCGCGGAAGATGTTTGAAACTCCGCTGGATTTTCATTCACCACTTACGTTCAGTGCAGTAACATTGTAGCCATGAGTATATCTGTGAATGTGCGTGCCTTCTTAGCTTAGTTGGTAGAGCACCCGCTTAGTAAGCGGGAGGTCGTCGGTTCGACTCCGGCAGAAGGCTTCTATGCAACGGGATTACTCAATTTCCTTTTAGGATGAGTAAAAGATGGCTCGAGATGAGGACTCATGAGTGCGAGGTGCTCGGACATGAGAATCTTCAGATTTTTACGCACTATGGGCGAGGAGAATTTCCGACAATATGCTTGATTGTTTCTTCCTGCTCTGGAGGGTTTGGGGTAGAGCCGTAGGCCGGGCGCCGGGGTGCGTCTGCGTCTGCCATCCTGATGATCTGAACGCTATCATCGTCCATCATCTGGGCGTGCCTTCTTAGCTTAGTCGGTAGAGCACCCGCTTAGTAAGCGGGAGGTCGTCGGTTCGACTCCGGCAGAAGGCTTCTATGCAACGGGATTACTCAGTTTCCTTTTAGGATGAGTAAAAGATGGCTCGAGATGAGGACTCATGAGTGCGAGGTGCTCGGACATGAGAATCTTCAGATTTTTACGCACTATGGGCGGGGAGAATTTCCGACAATATGCTTGATTGTTTCTTCCTGCTCTGGAGGGTTTGGGGTAGAGCCGTAGGCCGGGCGCCGGGGTGCGTCTGCGTCTGCCATCCTGATGACCTGAACGCTATCATCGTCCATCATCTGGGCGTGGCTTGGCAGACATACCGGCGTCCCGTGACAGCCTCATGCGACACGAACAGGGTGGAGTCGTATCACACTGATATTACGACTCACACTGGACGTGTCTGAGGCCTCCTCCAGGGCGGGTAGGGACGGGTTGAGAGATAAAAACTTGTTTCAAAGGCGCAAACGGCAGGAGAGATAATCACTACTGCGCACAACGACCTTTAGCCTAGCTTGAGATACCTCACGCGCTTAACAATCGCGCGCGCCTGGGCTGGACATGCCCTCCCTTCGCTCTGCGAAACAACACTAGCGGTCGGGAACCACTCTTAGTTCTCGACGAGAACTTCTCGTGCACTACCTACGTTCGGTGCAGCGAAATTGTAGCCAGGAGCATTTCTGAGAGGTGTGCGTGCCTTCTAAGCTCAGTTGGTAGAGTACCCGCTTAGACTAAGCGGCCTCCCGCTTACTAAACTGCTTACTAAGCGGGAGCTCGTCGGTTTAACTCTGGCGGAAGCCTTTGCCTAGCCAGACATAAGGATAAGATTGAAGACAGCGGGCGATCTACCCATTGCCCATTACTGTGGACGTCCCTTCCCTCCGGTTAAAAGTGACTAGTTGGCTCGATTTCCCTTACCGCTCGCCCATGTCGCGCGGACCAGATAATCTTCATACGCGGGGGAACTTTCTCTCAATCAATTCCAGCCGGTTGCTCCGAGCAACTGCTGATGAACAGAACTTCTGTTCATCAGCAGTTGTTCGGAACAACTTCTGCTGCAGAAGCTAGCAAACCTGAGATGCCTTCACGGTCCATTCTTGGTACTGACACAAGAATCAGAAATCAGGAAACAACAACGTCATGAAACGGCATACGGCCTTAGACGAGAGAGCTTGCGGATCTGTGATAAACCGGCACCACATTCCTTCTCGATAGCATTTACAAAGTACTCGGTCCTGATGAAATCGACTGTCCACGGAACAGGAGTGAGCATCTGGTACTCCATCGTACCACGCACGAAGCAAGTAGAATAATGAAACGCGCTGTTCGAAGTGAGGCCCAGGAGAAGCACGCACCTCTGCTGTAATCCTCTGTTCTTCATTTCAAAGTAAGGAAGGCTCACGGTAGTCCAGCCGAGGGATCTGATGAGCTCAGCGACGAGGTGGGAATCAAGTCGACGCCACCAGAAGACTTTGAGCGGCGACTTCAAGAACTTGAGGATACACACCTCAGTATCCGGTGCTTCAGCTTGGTCTTCGCGGTAAAGTTCTCCGTGCCCGCGTAAAAGTGAGTGAAGCCGTCTGCCTCCAACGCTAGGCTGCCAACCGCGTAGTCGAGTATCTAAGGTGTGCGTTGGCAGCCTCCTCACCAAGTTCACTCAGCGGCACAGCAGAGAGGTTCATCGAGTGTATCGCATTTCCTGCTTCCGGGCTCGCAATCGATCACCGGGAGAATCGTTCGAGTTCGGAATGGCGGGCACATGTACACATGTACATGTAGCTCAGCCGAAGTATACTATGGGCTAGAAACTCATTGCAGAGGACGCGTCACACACGTGCCGCTACTTGAGCGTTGAATCCTGAGCGATTATGAGATGCGTGGCCAACTTCAATGGTTATTCTCGACCCCTCGATAAACTTCCCTCGATGGTGAAGTTGCCAGAATTCACAGGGCACAGGTCAGTTCAAATAAGCATCCCATCATTCTGAATGAGGGGATGCTTATTTGAACTCGACTGAATGAATCATTCATACTGCATCTCATCGAGTCTGTCCGACCCACTGGTCTACGCAGCGTATGCACCCTACGCACTTACGTAGGTTCCCGCAACAACTTCTTCCTCATACTCGAGATCACATGCTTTCAGTACGCCCTTGATAGACTCTTGGAATTTGGAGTTTGAGACCTGTACAACAACGCTCGCCTACCAACCCAAGCGGCTGGCCCGTCAAACCGTGCCAGAGAATCTTAACGACATCAACATCAGTTATGAGGCGGATAGCAATGCGACCAAGATAGGACCCTCACCTCCAGATGAGCACTCGTCGCTGCAACAGCCTTGCGCCCCTCATCTTCTACCTGCAAAGACAGAAGCTGCCTTCAGTTTGTCAACTTGAATCTGCCAAGCAATGATTTCTGATTTCGCCTACAATGCGTTCAGCATCTCCCATGAACAAAATAACATCCCTCGGAAGGGCTACGCCGCTCGCTTGCAGTGCATAGCCACTGGTGAGGATCTCGTGTAACTAAGGTGACCGATGATGAGCTACCACACTGCTGTTCAAAGCGAACGCATTCGATGTCTATAATTCATTCAACAGCGCTAGAATTCCATCTCTGGCAGAAACTCTCTGAGCGACGAAATTCTGAACTTGACGTAAAGTCCATCTTGACATGTTAACAATCTTCGCATGAAGCACGACCGCGTACAAGGCTTCGAGAAGACACCGCGAGCCCTTCCTACGAACGCTAACAATCTACAGCGCCGCGAACGGGTACGCTGTACAAGGAACTGGTAGATGATACGCGCAGTACTGGAACCCGGGGAGGAGATGATTAGAGCTCTTGCAAGTAGTACACATCCAATCGCCAGCATTGAGGTGTGCAAATTTCGATGGGCAAGTTTACGGTACAGCCGACCACGAGCACCATTTACAGTAGAGTACGTCAGCCCATAACGTAAATTCCGCGGTGTATAACGTGCTGTGCGGAAGGAGTTCAATGGAAAAGTTTACAAATCAATCTCACTCCAACTGTATGTCGCCTCGAACTCGAAAGTTTTCGCTGGGAATTACTGCTGTCCCCAGTGCTCTCCCACCTGCGGAAAAGTAAATTCTCCACGCCCCTTCGACGCATACCGGAGGAGGTTGAGCAGAAGGTCCTGGTGCCTGGGCGGGACCCGTTGCACTCGGATGGCCTACGGGATCTCTCGCGGAAGACTCACTCTATGGGGCCGTCTCCCCAATCAGGTATGACAAGGGCATGCATTAACATTGAGAGCTGGAAGGGTTCCATAAACGATAGTTGCCCGCAGACCCGCCGGATGAGAACCTCTCGTCGATTGCTGGTTAGCGCGTCCAAGCGGGCGAGCGAGCTTAGAGCTTGGACCAATCGCTGAAAGACGCACACTCAACCGATCGTTCCATGCATCAGACGAAGAGGATAAAACCCGGTCCGCAATCCTCGGACACGATCGAGGAGCTCGGTTCGTCGTGCTATCGCCCGGTGTACACCCACCGTAAGGCTATGTTCGACGGTAAGGTCCACCTCGGGGACTAATGAAACCACTGCATCAGCAATGGGGTTAACTATATCCGAGTCGGCCAATCGAGGTCCGTGCCAGGGCGTTCAACGTCATAGACAAGGAGACGAAATCACCTGCAACGGAGAGGTGAAATTATCTTCAGGAGAGAAGCACAGAATACTTTCGTCGAACTTTGTAGCCCTGCACAGAGTTCGAGTTGTCATATCATCCAGGGAGTCCAGCTTCGCCAAATCGTTCAAAAGCCGCCCCACCTGCCATGCGAAAAACCAGTAACGCCCTTCCAGGGCGCGAAGAGCAACAAGTACCACGAATCAGCTCACTTTGGCTGGGTCAGCAGAAGTCTGCCCCGTAGAATACAGAAGTTAAACGCCTGTTAACCTTGTTCGTCACGGCGAACTTTCGAAACCGCGCACGGACCATGGAGCGAATGACCGTAAGCATCTCATCGATGGTCAGCTGGTCTATCACTGGCATCAAGAAGTTGGAACAATACCTAGGAACGACCCAAACGCTCGCCTGCAGCCCCCAAACCCCCACAAGTGCACCTACGTGTTCCACGTCTTCAAGGAAGCTGCCTTATTCCGCGAAACCTGGTCAAACAGGAATCTGAGATCGCGAAAGAAAATCCGGTCACAAATTGACCCGGCCATCGCCTACGCAACTTCCCGCGGCGCCATCGCCGAACTGCCTTCAATAATACTGCTCGTTGATGTTGAACAGAATCGCAGCTGCCCACCAAGTGTGCGAGAGGAGTGCCGCATTCGGATTGGCAACGAAACCATGCTTCTGCATCACGAACGACTAGATCGATAGCCGGCTACCGTCCCGCGGCGTTCGGTCTGACACAGCCCGAATTAACGCACTGCAAAAGCAGAACACTTTGATGATGAGAAAAATACTACTGTAAGTAAAATATCGTCTACTTAACGGATTCTAACATCCATGAATCCTGGAAAATCATCCTCGCTCACTTCCTTCAGGCCGACGAGAATGCAAAAACGTAACGACCGGAAGTAGGATGCCATTGAGCACTGAGCTACTTTGGCACGACCAAGCCACCGCGAAGAAAAAACCACTTCCAATGAAATATTAGCTTATAACGAACAAAATTATAACAAGTTGGATTGCCAACCTCTACCACCTTCCCTTAGCCTTTACCCTCTCGAGGATCTCCCCATCCCGAGCGATGACAGCGTGTCTGGAAATCTTGTTGGTGGCGGTTAAGCACTTGTTCTGGGCCGTCCAAGGTTCACAAACCAGACCGACACCAGCGAGCTTCTCAATCCCTGAGAGTCCCCCATTCTTGTGACACTCAAGAAGGGACTTCAGAACTTCCTCCTCCGCCTTGGGGTTCTTAACGAGGTCCTGAATGACAACACCGTGAAGACTGAAGAAAATCCCAGCCCTACCAACTCACCTGAATGCACTCGAATTGGACCCCTCCGTCTTGGCCCACTGAGTAAGACTGAGCTCATTGACTTGGACGAGAGCCACTGGTCTGTCGAGTGTCCCATCGCCATAGGTCATGATACCGCCGTTGACCGCATCAACGTATTGGCTGCCACCGTAGATGAGCTCCATGTTCTCCATGGCGATATACTCTCCGCCATGCAGCTTGACGAGGTTCTTCACACGATCCATGATACCAAGAGAACCATCAGGGTACCACACGCCAACATCGCCAGTGAGGAACCAACCGTCCTTCCTGAATGCCTCAGCGGTCTTCTCAGGAAGCTTATAATACCCATCGGTGACCACTGGCCCTCGAATCAGAACCTACAGTGTCGATAAGATAGGCGACCATAGAGATCGGAAGTACTACCTCTCCACGACCCAGACAGGGGTTACCGTTTGAGTCCTCGGTATCTGTATTAAGATAGGGACAACCTCGCTTGTCGAGGACCTCAGGCTCGCCATCAGCTCCCACGCATGATCGAAGACTGATCTCCGCACCAGGCACCTGTACAGCAGAGAAGCTATTTGCACGACCTGAGAGGGAGGCCCACAGGAGAACTTACTGGAGGGCCGACGACACCGGGCCTGTAGTCGTACTCCATCTGTAACGTTGCACCGGCGCACGTCTCAGTTAAGGCGTATCCTTGTATGACTTGACACCCGAAGGCAGTTCGAACCCACCTCTGAACCGTCGCAGCAAGCGGGCCTGAAAAGATGTCAATCAGGACGGCGTCGAGAGGAGTTCGCCGCTCACCTCCTCCCGAAAGAGCCACAACAACGTTGCCTCCGAGAATATGTTTGA